GTTCTAGCTACTGCAACAAGGTAGAAAAAGCAAATTAAAGGCATATAAATCAGAAAGGAAGAAATAAAACTAACCTTATTTGTAGATGACATGAGTGTATACATAGAAAATCCCAAAGAATCTCCAGAGATAATCCCTTGGAACTAATCAGTGAATTCTGCAGGGTCACGGGATACAAGATGAACATACAGAATTCAACTGTATTTCTCTATATTAGCAATAAGTATATGGGCACTGAAGTTGAAAATATAATCTATTTATAACTGCTCAGAAAATGCACAGGTGTAAAGCTAACAAAATATGTACAGGACATGTACACTGAAAACTACATAATGATGATGAAGTAAATCAAAGAATTCTAAATAAATGGAGATATATACAGTGCTCATGAATTGGAAGACTCAACACAGTAATGATATAAATTCTCCCCCAAACTGATATGCAAACTTAATGCAGTTCCTTTCAGAACCCCAGCAAGTTTTCTTGTAGACATAGATAATTTTATACTAAAATGTATGTATACAGAAAGGCAAAGAAACAATTTTGAAAAGAATGAAAGGGGAAGAATCAATCTATTTGATTTCAAGACTTATAGCAGTAATCAAGGCAGAGAGATACATAGGTAAATGGAACACAATAGAGAACCCGGAAATATGCCCAATTGATTTTTTGACAAAGGCCGAAAGCAATGGAGAAGAGATAGCTTTTTCAACTGATGGGGTTGGAACAATTAGATATATATGGGTAAAAATATCAACTTCATCCTAAGTGCCATAGTAAAAAGTAGAAAAGGTCTAACCATTCTCTGAAGTGGCTGTGCCAATTTACACACCCACTGGACGTGTCTGAGGGTCCCCAGTGCTCCACATCCTGGCTTCTACTTGGGAGTTTCAGTCTTTTTAATTTTAGCCAGGAAAGTCCCAAAGGAACTCACTTCCCCCAAAATGAGATTGTAAGCCGAGACACAGGAGAAGAGAGGATCTGACACAGGAAAGAATTCCAAGGTGATAAAAGAAAGATGTTCCAGCATGTACATGACCAGCTTATATAGACTGCTTATAGATTGATGAGTCCAGATTGAAGCAGGACAGAGAGGCTCCATGGAACTGTCTCTAAGAAGAAAATAAAGCTGAGAGACTCTTGAATGTTGAGAACAAACTGAGGACTGATGGGTATGGGGGAGAGGGGGAGGAGGGGTGATGGGCATGGAGGAGGGCACTTGTGGGGATGAGCACTGGGTGTTGTATGGAAACCAACATGACAATAAACTATTAAAAAAAAAGAAAGAAAATAAAGCTGACAGACCTCTGATGAGTAGGATTACACTCGGGATATTTTCAGTTCTCTTGGGGAGATTGAGGGTGAATTAGAGACAACCACATAGGACACTAAACAAGCAATAAAACAAAAACAGTTAAGACTTTAGAATAAAAGACAAAGACCATATATAGTACCTGGTTTGGTTGACTCTGTGGTTTGCAAATATTTTCTCATGGTCGATAGTTTGTCTTTCATTCTTGTAACAGGTCATCTGTAGCACAAAAGTCAATTTTTGCTCATTATATTTTTGGTGTTACTCCAAGAACTCTTTGCCTACCCTTAGATCCTGAAGATTTTCTCCAGTGTTTTTTTCCTAAAGGTCATATAAGTGTATTTTTTTACATTTAAATCAAATTAAAATTAAATTACATTAAAATTAAATCGAATCCCAGCCATACCACGACACAATTGGTTGCAGTAAATTGCTGGGATGTGCAGTTACTTGTGTGGGTGATGCCTGGTCTTGGGCTTTACCTGAGCCACTAGGTTCTTACTGTAGCTTAAATAGATTTTCCCTGATTATAGAATCTTAATTCTTCAGGTGGAAAAAATTGTTGTGTGCTCTGTAGCAAGTATTGGGTGGCTTTGAATTCAGAGCGGGCATACTTTAACAAATATCTAGCATGAGACACTGTTTCAAACTTATTATGCAGACTTGGCAGTGGGCGCCTTGAGAATCTTGCTTCAGGCCTTCCTGTTCCATTGAAGGAGACACTTAGACCTGTCTCCCCCACAAATTATCTCCTCCTTCCTCTTCCAGCATTAGGTTATTTTATCTCCCCCCCCCTCCCGGCCCAGAGTGCCGTGTGATAAGCTATTTAGACAAGTATAGCTAGTGGACCATGCGATGTGGTGTCTCTTTCCAGGAATCTTCTCACGAAGATGCCAAACAGGTTGCACTTCATGTTGTTTCAGCCAAGGTAGCAGGCAGCAATGGAGAGATTAGGAGAGAGAGCCGTTGTAAGTTCAGTAAGCTGGCACAGAGCCAGCACTGTTGTAAGTTCTGTGTGCATCTGTGAATAAGACAGACCCAGATCCTTTGCTTACACTGATGGGCGGAACAGAAGATAAACAGAATGAGTCCGTCTCAGGGCATGTGAGAAGGTGGTAAATGCTATTGTCAGGGGAGAGAGCAGAGGGGAGTGAAGGGGATCAAGAGTGGAGTGGAGGAAGAGAGAGAATAGGGGAAGGCACTAAGGAAGTTGTCACGAAGCCTCCCTGGCAAAAATGGGACATCAGGGGGAGGAGAGTGGATCTCTGGGGAAAGAGTTTCTAGAGTAAGTGCCTGGCATTAAACTTTTGATGGCCGAGGCATTCATTTCAAAGACCTCCATCTGGAATAAACACATTACCCAGAGTTACAAGCCACACAACTGGATAAGGAGCCAGACTACCCCAGCCATGAAGGTTTCCTCCCCTCTGGGTGACCCAGATAACTGACCTCTTGAGTTACCCTATTATCCCTTCCCATGCCCTAATTCCTCCTCTTATGGTTTAAACTCGCCAATAAACAACAAACCCGTGAAGCTCTAGACACCCCACCCTGGACCACAGTAAAGGTAGAGCCCCAGGCCCCCTCTACCCCTCACTCCCTATCATGACATCACTACATGGCCCTGGATGTGCTGCGTCCCCTCCAGGAACTGCAGCCAATAAGCTTTGTTTTGTCCAAGTTCCCAGATGGATGTTGCTGAGAAGTGTCTTGCAGTCATTTCAAGAACCACGGGGCTGGTCTAGCCACAGGGGTCTGTGAGGAGCTCATCACAGGGAACGGGGCTCAGGTGAATGCATCCAGGCATTCCTTGTCGATAGCATCACTATCAATAGGCTGAGACCAACACAAAACAGTTCCCAGGACAAGAGCAATGACTGGCTTCCCAGTCCTTCATTTCATGGCGTCCCTAGCTGAAGGAGAACCTGTCTGAGGGGTCTGTTAGGGAACAGAGTCCCCACAGCCACAGCCCAGCCCTGGCTAGCCGGCAGGAAGGGACCTTGCCCAAAGCACACATCAGGTGTGCAGGACTGAGGGGCCCAATCCCAGCCGTCCCACTTGACGCCCTGAGCTCTGTGTGTTCTGGAGGTCAGCAGGACACGCTGCCTCATGCAAAGGGGGAACTTGTACCGGGTGGCCTGGCCCTGCACACCTCCTGTGCACCTTCGCTGGGGAGTGTTGTTACGGGTGACAGTGTTGTTAGGGCTCCCTTAGCTGGACTTCATGCTCAGTGTGGACTTCAGCTCTGGAGACTGGAGACATTGCTAAAAGCATTAAAGGCTAAAGCAGCCTTCCCGGCCCCCTCCTGTAGGTGGGGTGGCTGAGGCACCTGGTGGTGGTTGGTGCAGGTGTGCCTCTGCTCCTCCTGCTGGCCTCCGCCCTCAGTTCCTCCTCCAGCCTGTCACTCATCATTTTAGAAGATGGAATTAAAAGAGCAGAAATTGAACCATAAAGTAGGTAAAGGATAAACTAACTGGAGGTTTAAAATAGATGAAAATTTGACCTATGGCTGTCCCTTTTTAATCCACTTTCGTGGAAGTCTGTGTTTGTGAGCAGTTGGGTGTGTGATTGCACTTAGGCATGGAGGACTCAACCAGCAGTGGAACAAGTCAATAGGTGGGCACATGGGGCTGTGAGTTGCAGAAGACAGTGACTTCTCATTTCTACATGTTCCACTTCAGGCTGCAGGGGGCAGGTGGGGGGCAGGTGTGCTCTGAGGGTTTCCTCCTGGGCTCCAAGCTTTTAAAACACTTGAGTTGCATTTTTTTCCTTTACGTGGTTTTTAATTTTCCAAGACATTTTTATTTATACAGCATTTATTGAAATGTCACACCTCATCACATTGTGAATCCTGTGACTGTAACATGTGGTGGCTGCCCTCGGGGAGCACACAGGACATGAATAACTACAGCTGGATAAAATAAGTCTCCAGCAGACCTGGGAGGCAGAGTGCACTTCCCAGAGAGGTAGGAGACACCTCCGGAGAGGGAAAACCAGACAAAGCCTCAGGGATGACACTGGAGTTGGGTCTTGATGGATGAGTAGGAGTTTGATAGGCCATGAAGTGAGTCATTAAATTGCTGACCTTGGGAGTGGAACATGCCAAGACACAGAGCTATGATAACGTGTCTCCATACATAACTCAATATGAGTAGCTTACTGATCATTTTCTTTTGTTTTTAATGTTTATTTGTATTTATTTTTGAGAGAGAGAGAGCAGGGGAGAGGCAGAGAGAGAAAGAGAGACAAAATCCCAAGTAGGCTCCACACAGCCTGATGCCAGTTGGAACTCACAAACTGTGAGATCATGACCTGAGCCAAAATCAAGAATTGGACGCTCATCCAACTGAGCCACCCAGGTTCCCCTCCATTCGTTTACTTTAATCTCTTTCTGTGACTCCTCTGTAACTATCTGTAACTTTATTGCTTGGGTTTCTTCAAGCTTATTTTTTTTCTATTTATCGCTTTGAAAATCGGAATTTGAAGTTATTCCTCCTGGTGTTTTGTTTTGTTTTTTTTCATGGCTTTTGTCAAGACAAATCGTTTTGGCTTTATTACTTAAAGAAAACTGAACCGGGGTGCTCTGAACTGAGGCATTTTCACGTGATCTTAATTGTGTAGCTCAAGTGTACCCGCCAGGGCAGAATGCCGTTTTAATTGTGAGATCTGTCTGTGTTCCTCTGTCTAGATTAAGTTTGACAGTGTCGGGGTGTGTGTCTGCTGTGAAATGCAGCACCAGTCATCTGGCTGCAGCAACCTTGGGGAGACGCTGAAGCTGAATCCGCTGCAGGAGGACTGCAACGCCGTGAGGCTGACGTTGAAGGTGACGGCCAAGGGCACTGCTTATTCATGCATTCCATCCCATGCATTCACAGACATTGTAGGAGGGTTTTGCTCATGTATCTATTCCTTCCCCTTCTTAATTCATCTCCGTAGCTGAAATGCAAGAGGGAATATCTTTCTGGAGAACATTTTATAGGATTATAGATTTTCACTGAAAAGGTGTTGCTTTCTGGATCTCGTTTTCCATTTTTACCATTTCACTTTCCTGCCTCTGACATATGTGGAATAGGATATGAATGGTTGAAACAGGTCTTTACAAATATGGATGTGATGCATTCTACTGCTTTTCTAACATTTTTGCTGGTATGCCATCAGGGAACAGATGGACATTTATTTTGCCTTTTTTAAAGATATTTGGAGAAAGACATTTTACAATTTCCCATAGCAATCTATTCTTGTGTACAGCATCTCATTTTTTTTTAATGACATGGAGAATTGTTTATATTATTCCTTTCCTTTTTTCCTACACGTTTTTTTTTTTTTTTTTTTTTTGTTCCTGAAAACCAAAATTGGCTGCCTAGAATGCATATGAACAATGAATCCGGTTCTTCTCTTTTCCCTGGGTGAAAGTGTGCTAAAACTTTTCTAAAAGGATGCGGCCAAGTCAAGGGAATGCTTGGTGGGTGGTGAGATTGTATTTATAGGATGTAGGGAGCTCTAGAGTATGTCGATAGGGAACACAGTATGTGGGGAACCAGAGACTCCGAGAGCCACCCTGGAACTGGGAGAGAAAGGAGGAAAGTGTTGCCCTGGAATTGGGTACCTGGGATTAGTCCTCTCTGGGTGTCACTTCAAATGCTGGAAGGAATGACCCCCCACCCCCCGAGTCTGCGCGAGCTCCCTGTTAGTCCAGGGCACTGTGAAAACATGTGGCAAATGAGCAGTGATGTAAGAGAGAGAGAAGATGTACCTAAAGTACAGGGTGGGACTGGCTTCCTCCCGCAGAGAGGAGTGGTCCAAGTTCAGTGGTCCCAGCTGCCCTCCAGAGTGACAGACCCCAGAGGCTCTGAGGAACCCAGACTGCAGCACTGACAGGCCTGTCCTTTTACGTGCAAGGTGGTTCTTACCACCTCATGTTGCACACAACCATGTTTCTCTCACTACATCCTGGGGCTTGCATAGGGTCAGTGTCGACGGCCGCCATGGCCTCCACTGGGCCTGGGGCCCGCCATGGCCCTCCTGGAATGGGGACATAGGCAGCCAGTGCTCACTCTGAGATCTCATGCTGACAATTCGTAAGTCACCTCCTCAATTTTTCTTTCTGTATTAAAAAAAAAAGAAAAATGGGCACCTGGGTGGCTCAGTCGGTTGAGCATCAACTCTTGATTTCAGCTCAGATCACGATCTCACAGTTCATGGGATAGAGCCCTGCATCCAGCTGTGTGCTGACTGTGCAGAGCCTGCTTAGGATTCTGTCTCCCTCTCGCTCTGCCCTTCCCCGGCTGGCACCCTCTGGCTGTCCCTCAAACTAAATAAACATTTTTTTAAAAACTTAAAAAAAATTTTTTTTAATAAGAAAAAAGGTTTAAAAGTGTTTCTTGCTGCCTATAACAAGACAAAGGTAATTATAATTAAATTACAGTGTCGCTACTGCCCCCTGGAAAGTTGGACAAATCCCCTGGGGAATCTCACCGTCTAGAGGCCACATGGGTGCTGCACGCAGTTAAGCAGCTACGTCATGTCTCACTCAGTGGATGGGCTAGAGGTATTTGGCCTGAAGTCCAGAGGCCTTGGAGTCCTTTATGACACCTGCACTCCGTGGGACCCTCCCAGGACCTGTCTTCTTGACTGTCTATCCCCTGAGGAGGTGGCTGAGGCCTGAAAGATGGTGTCGGAACCACAGTGCTCCTTCTAAGAAGGCCCCGCCGGGCTGACGAGCCTGCAGTCCTCTGGCCCTGACGCCCTAATGAGGAAACCACTTGGGAAGGGTTAGCTACAGTGGAACAAAGTGAAGGATACCCAAAACATTCAAATCAGTGCAGGGAGGTCTTCTTGAAAGGCTCATCCCCATGGATGTTCAAATTGCCGAAGACAATGGTTAAGAACTAAAGGCCTAGGAAAGACTCCACCAAACTTCTGAATGAATTTGTTTAAAAAAACTTTCGTAGAGGTAGGAACTGTCAGAGCTGGTGGCATGAGGCCCAGAAGAAGGAGGATTTATGATTGAAGAACAGGGAGCAGTGAACAGCCTGCCCCCCAGCTGAGGGCCGGTAATGAGAGCAATGGCCTTGAGTGTATGGGGCGAGGAGCTGAGTTTCATCTGGGATCTGGTGGATCTGGTGGACCATTGGAAGTGAGGGTCTGTTTACTGCTGTTCTCCAGCTTTGTTATTTTCCCAAATCGTTTGGCTATCCTAGTTCCTCTGCATTTCTGTATAAATTTTGGAATCAGCTTATCAGTTTCTCCAGAAATCATGCTGGGATTTGATTGGGATGGCATTCTGTATCTCAGTTTGGAGAGAATTGACATAACCATGATATAACTCTCCACTTAAGTTTTAAAAAATTTTTTTAATGTTTATTTTTTATTTTTTGAGAGACAAAGAGAGACAGAGTGTGAGCGGGGGATGGGCAGAGAGAGACACACACAATCCGAAGGAGGCTCCAGGCGTGGAGCTGTCAGCGCAGAGCCCATGGCGGGGCTCAAACCCATGCACCATGAAATCATGACCTGAGCCAAAGTCCAACACTTAGCCAACTGAGCCACCCAGGAGCCCCAGGTCATTTTATATTCTACTAGTGTTATGCAGTGTTTGGGATATTGATCTTAACATATTTTCTATAGTATTTATGCTTATGGTATTTCATGTTTGTTAGTACTATTTTAATGGTACTTAAGTTTTTTAACCATCTCTTGTTCATTGCTAGTATATAGAAATTTGATTTTTGGTACTCATCTTGTATCCTGTGATCTCATTAAACTCACTTAATAGTTCTGGTAGCTCCTTTATATATTCTTTTAGATCTTCTATGTAGGCAGTCATATGAAAGGCAAAGAGAAGCAATTTTACATCTTTTTCTGTCTGGATGCCTCTTATTTCTCTTCTTTCTTTTTCTTTTTTTTTTTTTTTTTTTTTTGCCTCATTACAGTATCGGATAGACATGGTGAGAGCATACGCCCTTGCTTTCCTGATTTTAGGGATTAAATATAATATTAGCTCTAAGTGTTTTCATAGATGCCCATTATCAGGTGGTAGTAGTTCCCCCTGCTTTTCCTAGTTTCCTGAGAGTTCTTTTTATCATGGATCAGTGTTGGATTTGTCAGTCTTTTTCTGCACCAACTTGATGTTCATATATTTTTTCCTTTTTGGTCTGATAACATGGTGAATACACTGATTGACTTTTGAGTGGTGAACCAGCCTTGTGTCCACAAAACATAAACCACATTGGGTTATTTTCCCCTCAGCTCTGCTGAGTCTGCTGATGCCTCAAAGACATCCTTCATTTCTGTGACTGTGCCTTTCCATTTGATTCTTCCATATAGCCTCCATCTCTCTGGTGAATTACCTCCATGACCCAGCACATTGCTTGCCTTTTTCACTAAAGCATCTGTCCCACGTGAACAGGTGCTCATTTGTCTCAACATGGAAATTCTCATGTCCTTAGAATTTGGGTTGGTTGGTTGCCATGTGACCTCAGCTGTCTGATGGGTTCAAATTAAGTTGTGAATTTGCAGAGTGTCCAGCGTTTTGTCATTGAAATGGTAGGGGCAGTGCTCTTTTTAGCTTTCTGCATCATTATCCATGATTGAATATTGAATATTGCTATAAAGAAAGACCTTAAAGTCAGCCTAATGCTTTCTCCCTTTTTGGTATGTGGTGGTCATTAATTCCATTTAAAAGTACCTCTAGATCTCCCAACTTACCTTCATGTGGTAAGATTGTACTTCCTAGTCTCCTTGTGGTTGTTCAGTGCCATGAGAGCAAAACTTAATGTATCACTTCCAAGCCTGGGTATTACCTGTAGTGTGAGATTATCCAGCACTCTCTTTCCCTCTGGCATGGTAATTGGCAAGTTATAGATGGGGGCTGCACCAGTAGTCTAGGTGACTACAATGGGTAGAGCCCCCATAACTCACCCACATTTACCCACATTGGACATGTTAACATGAGTGAGAAATAAACTTGTTGTTTTTAACCCACTGATATTTGGAGGATACTTGTTACCACAGCATAACCTAGCCCAACCTGGCTGATGCAAGGCATCATTTTTTGTTTTTCTTTTAGTTTTGGTATAGGTGTCAGTAATATTTTTTTTTTTTTTACAAATAGTTTATTGTCAAATTAGTTTGCACATAACACTCAGTGCTCATCCCCATAAGTGTCCTCCTCTATACCCATCCCCCCCTCCCCCCCACATCCATCAGTCCTCAGTTTTTATCAGCATTCAAGAGTCTCTCATGGTTTGCCTCTCTCCTTTTCCCCCACCATTTCCCCCCTTCTTCTCCCCCTTGTTCCTCCGTCAAGTTCCTCCTAATCCTCCTATACGTGCAAACATATGATCTTTGTCCTTCTCCGCCAGGTGTCAGTAATATTTTTAAATTATCAAGTCCATTTGCTCCACTGTGATACATCCTCATATTGATCAACCTTTCTCAAATTTCCCATGGTACCATGTACCCTTTGCACAGTGAGTTTTCATCTTGCTTTATTTCAGCAAGTTTTCTTGAAGTATAAACTGAATTTTTTCCTGTTGCCTTTGTTATAGGATAACTGCATTTCTTGGACTGCTTTTACCTGCTTTTCCTATCATTTTTTCCCCTCTAATTGTTTACACTCTTCTTTTCCATCTCATTTTGCTCAGTTTACCTTAAGACTCTCTTCCCACCTTGTTTTCTGCAGTGGGTATTATCTTTGTGCTCTGCTTTTGATGCGACCTTGAGCTTTGGCAGGTCATTTCTCGAGCATTTGCTTCTCTATCACTTATTCCTTACTTATTCCTTGAGCGCTTGTGTCTCTGCTTTTAGCCCTTGGATTATAGC